GACCAAGAAAAAAAAAAAAAAAAAAAGAAGGCAAGCTACGGTAACGTGTCCGACTAGGTTTTATATTGGAGTTAATTCTCAAAATGTTCTTCCGACTACGGTCTTTTATCAAATTGGTTCTTTGACTTTTAATTGCATCCAATGTGGTCCTCCGACTATTGAAATTTAAGTCAAAATGATCCTCCGTTAGTTTTGGTGTTAAGTGAGCGTTAAAATGAGGGGTAAAACTGGTAATTTTGGATTTTCACTATAGTCAAACGACTATTTTGGGTGCAATTAAAAGTCAAATGACCAATTTGAACTATCTAGTAAATATTTTAAAAGAAAATTTCATTTTATGAACTATCTAGTAATATAATCTAAAAGTTTCAATTGTGTATTATCGTATTTAAATTAATATAAAATACTTAGAGTTGATCTAATTAAATTAAAAAATATTTATGAATATAATATTAATAGCGATGATATACAATTTATTCCAACCATTTCATATTTTATTATAAATATTCTTTTATCGCGTTTTGAAGTTTTTTTTTTTTTAAAAAAAAATTCGCCTCCACTGACCAACATTTTTTGTATGCCCCTATAAACTAATATTGTATTTTTGTAATAGACAATGATTTTTTTTTAATCTTTCTTATCCGTTTGTATTTAACTGTTGTCTTTTTATTTTTTAATTTTTTTTAAAGCAATGGTTTATGTGTGTTGTCCATTTGGTTGTAATTTTTCACAATAGTATAAGTTTTGTCATTATATGTGATGAGGTGCGGTCCCAATGGGCCTAGGGCTCGAAGAAGAAAGAAGATAAGAAGGGATGAAGATTGGGCCCATGAAAGATCAGGCCCCAACAAAAGGGAAGGAAAGCCCAGAGATAGATTTAGCCGAGTCCGGGAGGTCGGCATGAGCAGAGGTCGGCCCAGCAAAATAGCCGTTGTCATTTAACAGTCCCTTCAATGCTTGGTCAAACAAGCCGTTGGGAGACCCAGTAACGGCCGCCCAACGGTCCCTAGGTTTAATAAGCCTCATTATGACACTTCAATGTATGCATTTAAATTAGCAAGGGCACTTAACTATAAAAGGGGCCCTTGGAAAATGTAAAGGAGGCAGCCAAGTTGAGATTGCTCAAGAGTTATACAAGAAAAATACTAAGATTGATAGCCATTTTCCTTAAAAGAATTCATAGCTTTGTTTGAAAAGGTGAATCCACCTACCACAGGGTCCACGGTTGTGTTGGACCATCCTGGGCCCAAAAATCCTAAAACCAACAATATGTATGCCTATTTATGATTATAGAAAATCAAAATCCAAAAATACATCATGTCAAACATTTATGAATAATAAAGAGTTAATCCAAAGTTAATGTTAGTTTGTACAACTATATATAAGTACTGACAAATAATCAAAATTATTATTCTAAATTATTTTTTAAAAAAAATTTATAGCTAACAATTAAAGTAAAATGATTGTTTATTTAGAAAATGAAAATAAGTACAAGATCAACCATTTTTTAATCAAAATGAGTACAAATTATGTTTGAACTGCTAGGACTATGTGGTCTAATGGTATCCGGGTTGGACTTCCATTTGGAAGAATATGAGTTCGAGCCTCAGTGGAGGCGTTATTGGTTTTTTGTGTTTCAGTAGGTTGAGAAAGTATATGAACTGTAATAGGGCCAGCAACATTCAAAGAAAAAAAAAATTATGTTTGAACTATGACTTTTTCTCAAATTGATCCTTTGACTTTTAATTGCACCAAAGTAGTCCTTTGACTATAGTGAAAATCCTAACTTACCAGTTTACTCCTCATTTTAACACCCACTTAACACCAAAACTAACGGATGACCATTTTGGTTTAAAATTCAATAGTCGAAGGATCACTTTGGGTGCAATTAAAAGTCAAGGAACCAATTTGAGAAAAGACCATAGTCGGAGAATCATTTTGGGAATGAACTTTTTTATATTACAACTCATGCGAGGACAGTACATCTGCTTTTCAATTTTGGTGGGGCCCATGTCAGAGGCCAAAACCACTCTTTGCATTAGGCTGTCACATCTTTCTTCCTTACTTTTTTTTTTTTTTTTTTCTTCACTTCAGCTATAAATTCGTTAAAAACTTAGCAAAAATTATAGAGGATGATGCTTTATGAAAAATTGAGGGATAATCCTAGTCTTACGTTTTCAGTGTTGCATACATAACTTGACAAATCTTTTATAAAAGATTGGATTTACTATTTGAATGATAGACCCGCTAAAATGTATTGTAACAAGTGAGTATTATCCATGTCACAAAATCTTTTTGGGAGGGACGGTGTAGCATTTTTAATCACAATTGGTGCTTCAAAAAGCTCTAATGCCCAAATAGAAAAAGGAACTTTATTGTTATAATTATTTAAAAAAAAAAAAACTTTTACTACTTTTTCTCTTTATTTGTTCACTTTGGATTGGATGGGGTTGAAGAGCAGCGACAACAATGGCAGAAAATTGCAAACTTTTAGTTCCCGTGCCAATTTTTGGAAATTCAAAATGCACTTTGCTTTTCAGGGAAGTAGTTTTCTTTTGCAGCTTTTGTACTACTAAAAAAAATAAAAAAGGGTTTACTGAGTAAATTAAATATAATTTTTATATTAAAATTTTATAACTTTGATTTTGATTAATACTATTTGAGTTGAATCCTTTAAACAAGTTATTCATAGTATGTTAGTACTCTTTATTTTTATTGTGTGATTTCTGGGATGAGCACATCACACTAATTTTTTTTTAGTGCAATTTATATTTCTTATGTGGTTTACGTGTCATTGCATATGAGTGAGCAGTTTATTCAATAAGAAAAATAAAAATAAAATATAACAAGACTAATGTTGAATATAAATTAATTAAAAATTAAACTATATAAAACATAAATTTAACAATAGTTAAATATCAAAAAGTGACAACGCTGAAAAAATTATTTTGTTTTTTTTTTTAGAATAAAAAAAATTATTTTGATTTAAAAAGTAAAAAAAAAATAATTGGAAAAGTGTTGCTCTACACTTTGAGAATAGTGTTACTCTACATTTAATTTTGTATGTTACTCCTAATTTTTCTCTATGTAATAAAGAGGATAATTTTTAAATTATTATTTTTTGAAAGTTTGAAGTTCCATCGGATTTTAAAAAATATATATATCTTATTCTTAAATTGTTTTCTTTTTTTAAAAATATTCTTAAATTGTTTTTAATTAATAGAGTAGCATGAATATTCTTGGTTATTGCGGGGATTTCGAAAATTAATAAAATATGATATGAGTTTAGGTAGGAACAATACAGTCCAAACTCCCAAGATTAAAATTTTGCATTCTGCAGCGCATCCAAGAATTATCTCGGTGGGGCCCCACTGACAGAGAAGGTACTCGAATCTCCATTGCTAACTTTTGAAATTTATACATTTGCCCCAAAAATAATTTTATCCTTTCCACTTAGAGATTCTATCCCATTTTATGTATTCGATTTGATTAATAAAAATTTACTCAAGTTAGTTATAAATTAATTTATAATATTTATATCGTTAAATGTAATATTAGTAATTATATTAAAAGTATTACGGAGTAGTATTAAGCATAAAAAATTAAATTTACATTTAAAAAAAAAAATAGTGATGAAAATAGAGTTAATTTGATCAATAAATAATAAACAGGTAATGAGGTAAATAAGACAGATGGAATAGTTGTTTTCTAAACGCATAATTTTACCCAAAAAAAAAAACACACACGCAATGAAAAGTGTAATACATGTTCTAATCCCCTTAATGATAAATTTAAAAATTAAAGAATAATTTATTTGTTGTCTGACCATAAATTTTTTCAATTCAAGATATACTAAGATTCACATATTGAGACTAGTCATGTTTGGTAGGACTTCAAAGAATAATGAATTAAAATATTTTTTGATTAGTTTTAAGGTTGTTGCATTCACACAACTTTGCAAGAGATCTTTTGTTAAGATTTAAGATTCACACCGCCTCATTTACACCCTGGGTCAGAAATAATAGTTGATATAGAATTTTTTGGGTGAAATCAATGATGCTGGGAAATCATATGGGAAGAATTTGTATTTTTGAAATTTATAGGGATCTTTTATAAATAATTCAAAATCTGTGTCTCCTCTGTCCTCCCTCTCTTGCTCTGTGTCAGAATAGTAGGCAGTACACCCTCCTAAAAAAGATTCCCTCAATTTTATTTCTTCCATTTTTTTTTTTCAAATTTTTGGTGTAATTTTTAACTTTTTTTTTTGGGGTGCTGTTCTTCTTGTGATCGTTATCTCCTCCCTTGATTAACTCTCTGTTTAGCCGTAGCTGAACAGAAAGCTCGAGAACGGTAATGTGACAGGCCCGGATACCCAAACCTGAAGAAATCCTGAAACAGCCCATTCCCTTTCTATTCTCCTGGACTTTTCTGATTGGGACTTCTTTATTTGATCCTTTTTTGCTTCAAAGTTCAGAGCTTTAGCTCAATCTCCTTTGCTCTGCACTGTGGGTTTGGGTGTTCTTGCTCAGTTTCAAGCATTTTTCATCCCTGAAGTAAGCTTTTCCACCCTTTAAGTGTACACAAATCTTTGCCTTTTCTGTTTTGGTTTCGTGTTTAAAAGGTGTAGAACCCTAGATCTGCTGTGGTTGTTGAATATTGGGGATTTGGGGTTTAAGCATTTGAGTTGGTAAAGCCGTAAAGGAATAGTTTTTTGTGTTGTTTTATTATTTTTAAATCTGGGTGTTTCACTGTTAGGATGTTAATCGGACATTGAGCCCTTAAACCTCGGGGGGTTTGGTGAAGCCCAACGTAAGGTCATTTGTTTAAGGTTATCTCAGCGGGAATCATGGCTGTTCTTTCCCCAATGTAGTAACCAACAGGTTTCAAGATTAAACCCCAAAGTTTGATATTATTTTGAATTCTTTAGCCTGCATATCAGAATCAAAGTCAGTGGTTTAGGTGTGGGGTTAGTGGCTAGATCCTTAGTTTTAGATATTCAAATGGGTTTGGATCTACAGAATCAGGGAATGGAATGTCCAGTGAAGATCTCTAAGCCCCAGTCCAACAATATTTCAGAAATTGTTTCCAAATTTGCCAAAGCTTGTAGATATAGGTCCATTGGGGTGTTTAGCTCTGAAAACCCTAACTTGAATTACCATGGTCTATCATATGGTCCCTTGGTAACTGAGGAGAGTGGTAGTGATGCAACTGAGGAAGGTGAATTGAATGCGGTTAAAGTTCATCCCGAGCCCGTTGGGGTTCGGGGTGAAGTGAAGAGTAGCGGTGACGGGGAGATCTTGAAGGTGTTTGATGCGGTTTCTGCGTTGAAATTGGCTTATGTTCAGCTCCAGCAGGCTCACGTGCCTTATGATCCCGATAAAATCCGGGCTGCAGATGAGGCTATTGTGTCTCAGCTCGAATCGCTGTGCAGGATTAAGCAAGCTTACAAAGGGAGGCAGATGAAGGGGTCGAAATCTGCCTCTGCTTGTTCGACGCTTTTACATGGAGAAGAAATCCGGGTTCGAGAGAAGCTTTTGAATGAATTGAAGTTCGGGGTCAAAGAAAAGGAGTCTAAGGTGGTTGCTTTGCAGCAGGAGCTTCGGGATTCAGTGTCGAGGAATAAGAAGTTGGGTGAGGAGCTTAGGAATAGAGAGGAGGATGTTAAGGTTTTGAGTTTCTCGTACGTGGAGGAAATTGTAGGAGCGGTGTCGAAGGCTATACACGACTTCGCCAAGCCATTAATCACCTTGATGAAGGTCTCGGGCTGGGATTTAGACCAAGCAGCTAACTCGATTCAAGGCTCGGTTGTTTACTCCAAGAGGTCCCATAAAAAATATGCATTCGAAGCCTATATTGCTCGGAGAATGTTTCATAGATTCTCATTCCAATCGTCAAGTCTTGATACTCCGAAGAAGTATGACGACCCAATTGATGCCCTAATCGAAGATCCAAACTCAAGTTTCGCCACATATTGCCGAGAAAAGTATCTATCAATAGTTCATCCCGCAATGGAACTAGCCTTCTTTGGCAATCTCGACCATCGCACATTTGTGAGCAACGGATTTCATCCACCAACGCCTTTCTATGCAGCATTCGTCAAAATGGCCCGATCTGTTTGGATTCTTCAAGGCACCGCTGCATCGGTGCAACCAAGTTGTGACATATTTAGAGTAGAGCGAGGGCGCGAGTTCTCGAATCTTTACATGGAGTATGTGGAGGAAATAAGCGAAGATAACGTTCCATCAAACAAGGAGCAAGAAAGGCTCAAAGTCGAATTCATGGTCATGCCCGGATTCATAATTGGTGACAACATTATCAAGTCTCGGGTTTATCTATCAAAAACATGACTTTTTGTGCTGAAAAAACATCCTTTGACGAAACCGGTAAGTGCCCTATTGCCAATATATGCAATTTTGCGGTTTTGAAATATATGAAAGCTGGCATAGATCGGGTAAATGCATTGATCTTATTGTAGTTGTTGGAACTTGTTTCTTCAAGGTAACGCTTTCATGTAACGAGCAATATGTTGCTTTTCCCATTGTAAATAAATATATATATCTTAACTAATACTCCATAGTAAATTTCGTAGTTATTTCGTGTTCCCCATTACTCATCATTGTCCTTTGTTACCTTGTTTATCACATTACAACCTGTGCATAGAATGTTTGTAAAAACTATAAATCGATTCGAAGATTTGAAATCCTTTGTAGGAACGAAAAGTATTATTGCTGTTGTGTAGAATCCCGGGGAAACAGATCCTTGCATAGCTCGCCATAGAATCTCGACACGAGATCAATGAAAACGGGAGACTTGAGGCTCTTCCAGCAGCGAAGAAGCTCTTCTACATCGACCAAGTCTCCCGTTTTCCCTTCCTCCAGGATCATCTCGACCAAGTAGTTCTCGAACCTCCTGCACGCGTCTTCTGTGTCATCCCGAGCAAAACCCTCCCCCCTTATTGTAGCCTCTGTGCTCATTCTTGATTGTGAGATTGTGTTATCGGTTTTTTTTTTTTTTTTTTTCCTGTTTTGGATGTTGAGGAAGTTGAAGCCTTCTTATAAAAGGAGGGGCTTGGAGGCTTCAACTTCATCTGTGGAACATTTAGGGATTGAGAATGAGAGAGTGTTGATGAAGGAAAGGGAGATGGTGGAGAATGATTGTTGGGTATATATGTTGCTTTCAGTATCGTTAACAATGGGAAGAGTTGGTTGGTGTGTTTGGGTATTTGATTAGTTTAAGGAATACAAAGTATAATTGATGGAATAAAAATGTTACTTATAATTTATATATATATATATATATATATATATATATATATATATATATATATATATATATATATATATATATAGGCGGGTTCAGGTGCGGCAGTGTCTTACGGTGCGGTTATTTCTTACGGTGCGGCAACACCAATAGTTCACCAAATATGCACCATCAACGTTAGGAAATACACCACACAAAATAGAGTAAACAGAGCCCTGCATCACCAAACACACACCATTAGGTGTGAGTAAAAACACCATACACTGTTCGGAAATACACCATTGGGGGTGGTGAGTTATATGGTGTGTTTTTTTGAGTCTGTGGTGTATTTTGTGATGTTTTATTACATTTCATTGGGATGTGTTTTTATTACACTGTTGGTGCATATTGTTAACACTGTTGGTGTATTCTGAAATTTGACCGCACCGCCGCACCGTAAGACCCCGCCGCATATGAGGTATATATATATATATATATATATATATATATATATATATATATATAAAGAATAGCAAGAATAATTGGAAGGAAAATATGGCCTAAGATTGGAATAGTCATGGTAGTTCATAATTGTGTAGTGTAGCAGTACGAGGTCTACGTTTGAGTAGAACAAAAATTACTTGTCGCTTTACACATTACACATTAGGCTTATAGCCTACTCCTCTATTTTGAATAAAGAATTTTACATCATGTCACTTTATATCTCTCCAATTATAAATAAATGTTATATATATTTTGTGAACAATACTACATTTCTTCCTTATTTTACCTTCTTACCTGATAATATTGGATGATTAGTTTTTATTCAATATCTTATCCGCGTAAGGAGAAATTCCTCACACTAAGGAACTTACACTCTGACCGTAATAAGATGATAGATGGATAATTACAGACACATTCAACAGTCTCTTAAATGGGAGAAACCGTGCCTAATTTAGATTCGATCAGATAGCTTTTGTGGAGCTTTAATTCTTCTTTAAGTGAAAGTGTAACTCAAAACTCTTTAACATGACATATTTTTTACCCAAATTGAATTTACTATGGCCCTGTTTGGTAAAAAATTGGCCTATAGACCAATTTTAGCTTATTTGATCACTATAAATTGTTTGATTTAGTTAAAATATCAATATAAATGTTTGGTTAATTAGTTTTTTGCAACTCCAAAAGGTTAAAATTAAAAAAGCTACTCCTAGCAACTTTTTCAATTAGCTTTTTGAGAAAAGAAATTATACCAAACAGCTATTAGCTAACAGCTAATTTACCAAACACTTTTCTACAATCAACTAATGTTATCAACTATTTATACCCTCTAATTAACACAATCAGCTAACAGCTAACAGCCATTTTACCAAACAGGGCCTATATAATCTTGCAATTTAACGGTTCAGACTGGATGAGCCAACCCATTTACAAATAGTCAATAAATATAATGAGTTTTATAACACTTATGAGAGTGTTGATATATAATATATTCGAGTCTCTTTCAACTTAACCAAAACTATTGAATTTGAGTGGAGTGACCCTATTGATTAGAACATATAACAAAAGGTTTACTCCAGCAAAGTCATCATTTTTCATACTATAAATTTCCCCTTTCAACTTCAGTATCAGATATAGAGAGAAAAGCACAAGGAATCTGTGAAATGGGCAATCACAGGTTTAGATTATCAGATATGATCCCAAACGCCTGGTTCTACAAGCTCAGAGATATGAACACTACAAGAACTAGAAACTCTCACCCCAAGAAGAAACACGCGCCGCCGTCCTCCTCCCCCACCTCCACCGCCACCACCACCTTCTACCACCTCTCTTCTCCTCCACACTCTTACTACCACACCACCGCCTATAACCCCTTCTCTGATCCACCCAAGAGGAAAACAGTATACAAACCTTCTGAAATTCAAATTGCTCAGACTGGCAATACGAGTAGTTCCGATGAAGATGATGATGATGATGATGATAGTTCTACATTGCCGGAGCTGATCGGATTGGAGGAAAGCGTTGATTTCAGACCGAGAAAACCGCCTGTTTCCAAGGTCACCGGAGTGAGGCTGCGAGGCAACAGTAGTAGTAGTTCTCCGAGAATTGCGGTCAGGAAGATCCGGAGAAGCTCGCCGCGGGCGGAGAAGATGGAGTTGCCGGAGAGCGGCGGCGTTGCGATGGTGAAGGCGTCGGTTGATCCGCAGAAGGATTTCAAGGAATCAATGATGGAGATGATCGAGGAGAATGAGATGAAATGTTCTAGGGATTTGGAAGAACTTCTTGCTTGTTATCTTTCTTTGAATCCAGAAGAATATCACCACCTCATTATCAAGGCGTTTGAACAAATATGGTTTGAACTGCCTCATCTCGACTTGTAAGTCTAGCTAAAATCTCCTTTCATTTTCAACCTACATTTAGTCCCATGCATTGTAATCTGTTACTTTTTTATTTAATATCAATTGTATAATATTATTATGAAAATTTTCTATTGCATATGGCCTCCAATATTCCCACAAAATGTAAAATTAATTCTGATTCAGGTCAGGTCATATTTACAAAATTTGACTCCTATTTAAGAAAAAATCTGATGCAAAGATGCCAACCTTATAATTACATTAATAGTTTACTAGGTGATGCACTATTATTTACATCAAAAATTAAATTGACCGTAACGCTAAAAGACATGATAATGGAATTGTAGTAGAATTGAAGCTAATGAGTAGCGTTTGAGTTTGGGTTGTCGTGGATTGAAAGCAAGGGTTTGTCATGGGAAAGTTAAAAGATACTTTTTTACATGAAAGATGATGATGGTGAGGTGCAATATTTGGTATTTTGGGGTAGTTTTTAGGTAAGATTAAAGTTGATATTATAGTGAAGCAGGTTAATGATTAGGTTGGATGAATTCTTGGTTTTTAAGATAAGCGTTGTTTGTACCGTTGGAAAAGTGCAAATTTGAGTGGCATATAATAACAACCAAATTAAATCTTTTTTTGTAATGACACCAATTTTTGATTTCATATGAAACTAAATCATTTGTCCCATGAATCCATCTTAAGTGATGTTAAGTCCATGAAGAGACCAAACTCTTAATGTTCAAGTGCATAAAATTGAACTCTCACTGAAAATAAGTATTAATTTTAAGGTGTTCGTATATACTAGATTAATGCTCGGACTAATGAACTAAATCTTTGATTAAAACTGTTTGTTGATAAATTGGGTCAGCATCAATCACTTCCCGAATAGTTGCTAATAATTAGGTTGCATGTGAAGTTACGACTCTATGCTAGCATTGTCGGGTTAATGGCATTTGCCTGTCATTCTAGCCAATTTGCAAGTCAAGCCAAACACAGCCCTGAAGTTTCGGGCTGAAGGGACTCTAATCCTGGGAAGCTGTAATCAACTCATCCCAAAAGTATAATAATAATAACTTAATAAGAGTTCAGACTATTACACAAAAACAGTCACATTTTCTGTGCAATATATAACTTAGATAGTAATTACAGATTCCCTCATCATCTAAAAGATAGACGAGTTTAAAATAAGGATAAGGGTATGATTCAAGTAGCGCAATCAATCATGATTTCCAATAATTTCACTTTTAAAGATTAACAAAAGAATTTGGAAAACATTTTTTTATAGAAATATATATGAATAGAAAATGAGTCCTTAAAATAAGCACCACTTGAACAAAATGGAAAGAAACCACTATGGAAATTGACAAAATTCATAGAACTGTAATCTTTGTTGTGTCACCAACATAGAGGAACAATGTGACATTTAGTCCAAAACCTTAACAGACAAACATCAAAACCAACATATATTAACTCCATAGCTTCCCCTTGAGAGTAAAAAGAAACAGTCTAGTGAGAACAAAATAACACAAGGGGCGTCTAGGTACGGGCAGCAGTTGGTGGTCCTGCGGGTCGTGGGGCTTGACCTGGCTTTGGCTGATCATCCTGCAAAGTCAAAATTTTATTATAGAATTTTCAGTGCTAACTTGAACAGATTAAAAAGTACAATCAACATTTTATGAAAATATTTTTTTAACAACGTTTTTCAAATGTCAACTTTGGAATACCTTATCCCACCCCTTAATCCCCTTCCACAACAATCCACCCTCCTTGCATGTAACCTATACCCTACTGCATATAACTAACCCCATTCACCATATACCCTATACCCACCAACACACCCAGCTGAAACGGCTGAAAGCAAAACCCTACCTCAAGTCCCCACTCCCCACCAATAATATATATGAAATTATGAATACCTATGTACACAAACAAATGCACAAAGATTTGGAAGAACCAATTGTGGAAGAAGAATTGGTTTAGAAGGATATCTGCCATTTGCTAAGCTGTAGTGTTTCACTATTTTGCTTTCCTCATAACCTTTTACCCAAGTTTTTCAAAGGAAGGAAATGATAGTTAATGTAACACATGTGGATAGAGAATTTAAGCCTAGCTCAAAAACAACACATATCATTAGTTTCATCCAATATAAAAGTTTAAATAAAATATGTAATCTTACTATATAAAAGAGAACACAATTACAGACAGTATAGCACAATCATTACATGATGGCAAAAGTTCAATGCATAAGCAGAATAGATAAACAGCTTTAAACATGAATGCAAAAGGAAAATGGATTAAATATTTAAAAAGACAGATAAACTAGGTGAAGTATTCGTATTTCAAATGTAAAAGCTCAAAGGTGAAAATAAAGAGAAAATAAAAATACCCTTGGGCGCCTGAAACGCTGTGGAGGCTCACGGACCCTTCTATCAGTTACTGAACGAACCCTAACCACCTTGGAGTGAATTGCACAAGACACACAGTATTGCATTTTCACATACAGCTTGGGAAGTGTGTACGCTAATCAGATAGCAAAGCAAATGTCAACTTTTTATCAAAAACTGAAAACAATAGAGTGCAATTGTATGGTATATTACAGAAGAATCATACAATCAAAGGCACAAGCCTCCTGGACATCCCTGACAGCAGCCTGTTCAACAATATTCCTGACAAGGAATCTCTTTATGGCCTTATCCTGAAGGAATAATTTTAGTTAGAAAATACGATATGATGTTTATTGCCTCCTCACAAACAAGGAAGATTAATCAAAAAGAGCCTGTCTCGTGAATTTGAAACTATACTGCAATAATGTACATGACTGCCTAGGCTTGTTTAATATGGCACTGAGATTATAGATAGAAGCTTTTACAAGTTAAGCAAAGATTACTTAAAATATATTATAAATTTTAAAACAATTTTGCCTTATTTAAATCTAATGTGCCATATGTATGAGCTAATAATGGATTAATTATAATTAATTAACACAATCAACAAGAATATGCAACGACAAACATGATCAAGATAATGATACTCTCAACTTTCATTCTCTATATCTTAGTTATAAACAAATCCACAGATCATGTGAAGCATTACAAATCAGATGACTAGTATCAATGGTTGAGCTGAATAAAAATTGATCTAACATCTAATAGATAAGCATGAATTTCAATCCGAATGAACCTCACTACAACCATACATAAGCTAGCATGCGCAGAAATCATATACGAAAAGTACAGACAACGGAACAACTTTTTTTCAATAGGGGAGGGGGGTTTACGGACCTTCGGGCAACATTTGCCGCAGTTGGAGCAGCGGATGAAGTTGACATGGCCACGGCCGTGCTTGTTGCGGCCTCCGTTCCTTCGCTTGAAAGTCTGCAAAATCAGAAGAAATACAAAATCAGAAATTGCCGATTCGTGACCAACGAGAATTGAAAGAAGAACACGCTAAGTGTTATCCATATCACCATTTTTCTGGAGAATAGAGCTTCGGGAACTCCTCGCGGCTCTGCTCAGACAGGGTTTCTCCAGCAAACAAATACGTGCAAAATGGCTATGCCAAGTATATATACGCTCCTTCAAAACCCTAAGAACCGGGCCCAACATATGTGTTATTGGGCCGACAATAATAGCTTAGCACATGGCCCAATGGATTAATGGACAGGCTAGTAGGTTTGGGTTCAACATATTGGGCAAACAGATAAGTGTTAATGGGCTAACAAGTAGTGATCAATGGATTCATTTTTAGTGACTTTGGTTCATGGCAAATTATGCCCTGGATCCGTGTCCACAATGCCCAAAACGACGTCGTTTTTCAAAAAAAAATGCGTCATTTAGTTATAAAAAAAAAAATCGCGCGTGTTTTGCCATTAACGGCGTTATTTTTTTTGGATTATGAATGTACAGTTATGCCGTTATGAATGTACAGTTATGCAATTATGAAATTATTAACACAGAGCTCTAACATTATGAACTTACAATTATGAACATATAGTGATAAAATTATGACCATGGAGCTTTAAAATTGTGAATATAGAACTTCGAAGATTATGAATGTACATTTATGGAATTATGAATCTACAGTTATGGAGTTATGAATCTACAGTTATAGAATTATGAATGTACAGTTATTGATCGAATTATGAACAAAGAGCTCTGACATTATGAACTTACAATTATGGACATGTAGTGATAAAATTATGAACATAGAGCTCTAAAATTGTGAACATAGAGCTTCGAAAATTATGAATGTACAATTATGGAGTTATGAATGTACAGTTATGGAGTTATGAATGTACAGTTATGGAGTTATGAATGTACATTTATAGAGTTATGAACGTACAGTTATGGAGTTATGAATGTACAGTTATTAACATATAGTAATAAAAGTATGAACATATACTCCTATAACGAAGCGGTCTGAAATTTAAAAAAAAAAAAAAAAAAAAAAAAAAAAAAAAAAAAAAAAAAAAAAAAAGGAGATAACAGTGCCTAACGGCACTGTTACACGGGTCTATACCATAATGATTGGGTTCACACAAGGGAATTGGAATTGGGATTGGAATGGAATCAAATACTTGAAAAAGGTAATGTGTTTTGGTAAAGTAATTTGCAAGTTTGGCATGTAATTTTAATAATTACTAAAATTGATGTTTAGTTGTGTATGACCCTATAATGTAAATAAATACTTTAAAAATACAAACAGCAAAAAATTAAGACAATTGATTTTAATATAACTCCATCCCAAGCATCAATATGAACAAAAAAATCAAAACAAAAATCTAAAATTACTCATACAAACCTAAATATTAGATTACCAATAAGATGGAATGATACCCCTTTTTAATTAGGGAATATAATTTTTAATTAAATGGGTAATTAAAATTCATAGTTGTGTTTTAAAAAGTTATCAACAAAACATTAACTGTGATTTTGATTCTCATTCCTAATGTGTAAACACGTCAACCAAACACGCCATAAATGTTATTTTTTAAATGTCTATGTTTTGTATATTGAAAGTTCATTTTTAAATATATTACATAAAAATGCATATTTATCTATGATCCACAATATAATTTGCCATTGTCACCCATGACAAAATGAACAAAATGATGTGTATGTCAGTGACTCAGTGTGAACGATCTATTTATTTTTCTTATAAAGCGAGTTAATTATAAACAATTTATGATAATTTACCTCCTTATATATTATTTACTAATTAAAGTCACCAAACATAATTTATTCAATATACATTTTTACTTATAGAAAGGAAGTTAATTATAAACAATTTATGATAATTATATTTACCTCCTTATATATTTTATTTATTCAATATTTTTACTGCCGAACTGTGGGACCTAAGGGAGAGTTTACAGATGTGTAGAGAAAGGGGTTTTCAAAGATTTCGGATTGAGCTTGACTCTGAGGCGGTCGTTGAGATTATGAATGAGAACTGTCAACAGGGAGATCTAACTTCCTCTCTCGTTTTGGATTGTAAGTTCCTTGTCAAAACCTTTCACCGTGTGATATTTACTCATGTGTTGAGGGAAGGGAACAAGTGTTCAGATTATCTATCTAATCTTGGACAAATAACTACTTAGAGGACTTATAAGATCTTGGAAGACACTCCTAAAGAGATGAGCGATATCCTCCCAGTAGATGCAGGAGGAACTAGATTTAAAAAGATTATATAGTCGCTGCACCACCACGGTATCGTTTCTCACCCAAAAAAAAAAAAAAAAATAGTGATTGAATTTTGCTGGTCACTCGCTTTAAATGATGTGCACGAGAGTGACAAAAGAAGGGAAACATAACCATTTGTCTGGTATGACCTATATATGTGCTTAGCCACGCATACATCGCATGCATGCTGACAACCTACGCTCCATCTGCAACACTGTTAATATTCACTGCCGTTTGGCACAGATTCATATTTATGAGGCAAATCTTAGGCACACTTTTCCATTGCCTTTGCCATCATTGGATGAATGGATGTATACCTAAGTTGGCCACCACCAAACTCTTCTTTAATAAGTCTTAATGGAGTATTAATTAGTTGTTAATGATATTGTGATTTAATAACACGAAGTCACTCTCCCAAATTAAATGATTTGAGCCTCAATTAAGCAGATAATACATTGTAACATGATTCAATAGTACTAAAAAATGATATAAATATATATATTATATGCTTGATAGAGATAATATTTGAGATTGATTTGAGTTGTTATCATTTTGAGTAAGATGAGATTTTTATTGTGTTTTTTTTGTTGCAAACTTGATAGTGATGGAGAAAATGAAAGCTTACCAATCTCACTTTGTATTTTTCTTACCCTCCAACACATGTCTCTCGCTGGACCAATAGCATAGTACGTTTTACTTCTCAATTTCCCCAAATTCCATGGTCCCAAAAATTTCTGTTTTTGAGAGAAAACGAAATGAAAACATTAAATAAATTTTGATCAAATCGTACTAGGATCTGCACCGACTTAGTTCACTGAGAGAAAAGAGATTAATGTTCTTAGAAGTCTGAAGATTATGTTCAAAGTGAACAGATCACTTATATGCATAACGATATTTGACTTATTTATTGAGTCATTAAATTATCGTGATTTAAAGATAGTGAGGAGGGGCAATTGAAATTAGCAAAAGGGGAAGGCCAATATTCAGTCGGACCAAAACCCCCTTTCACCCTCTTATCCTTGCGGCAATTCAAACCACTAGTTGTTGCTTTCTCCTATGTTTCTGTCCTGCCGGGATTTCTTATTCGCCGGAACACCATGAGGGTAACGCCGTTACCGACCACGAACATGACGGCTCTAAACTACTCCGACGATCCCAAGCTGGACAGAGCCATGGTGGTGGTTCTTGCGTCTCTGCTAGCCGCGCTGCTGCTTGTGCTCGCTGTGAATGCCATCGTCCGCTGCATTATCCGGCGCATTAGACGGCTTAGCCCCCGGGTTCCGGTGCCCTCCGCCGCCCCTCTGCCGCCGCCGACGGCGGCGGGGCTGAAGGAGGATGCTCTAGAGCAGATTCCGGTGGTGGTTTACAAGTCCGAGGTGGGTATCTTCGGTACGGAATGTCCGATTTGCCTCACGGAGTTTAATGAAGGACAGAATTTGAGGCTGCTGCCGAGGTGCAGCCATGGCTTCCATTTGAAGTGTATTGATCTGTGGCTTCTGTCTCACTCGTCTTGCCCAACTTGTAGGCGGCCATTGCTTGATGATACTCCATAAATCTGTTTGTAGTTCAATGGTACAGTAGGCAGTACTGAAGAGTAGAGATCAAGGTTCGAATTTCGACGATAATAATGCTCTGAAGATTCAACCTTTTGGGAGAAAATACTCCATAAATCTCCTCTTTTACTTCCATTCAATTCTATTCAATCTTTTGTTTAGTCATGATTCAATGTTTCTTTTAGAATGTCTCTTTAACTTGTGGTGTCCTATGATGTTTTTTTAATTCATTTTGAAGCAAATGCTTCTAATAATACATACACGAATCAATACATACACTAGTTTATGATGATTGGTAACCCCAATACATGTTTTGTCAAGAATTTTAATTACTTTATTGTGAAACCAAAAAGTGTGTTATTTTCAGGTAACACTCTATCACGAAGTAAATTATAAGATACTTGACATACAAAGTTAAGAAGGTAAATAAATAGTCCTGTGGGTAGTCAAGGGCAACATCATCTGAGTTGGTCGGATTGTTGGTTTGTTAACCACAAAGTTCCAAGTACGATTACCAATGAGTTTACCTCATTGTAGTCTTTTGCTGGTTAGTAAGGGTCATAATGCGTGTTTCATCTAGAGTACATCTTCGAATAGTGATTGTAAATAGTTTTCGTAAATCAAAGTCACATGAGTAGTTGAATTCAAAATCTCCCAATTATTAAGTTAATTGTCTGATCAATTTGGTTGGAATTGCCTAGAAAGAAGGGTACTTAGGTTAGCTAGAAAGGCAATGGATATTGGTGAGTGGGGGTGTAAGGTGAGTAAGGGGTGTTTTGGACAAATGAAGAAGAATTGCTGACATGTGAATGGGCCATTGTTGGGCTTTTTGAGGTGATACTCCGACAAGATCGATTCATTGACTTCACTCTAGGCCCTTTCTCGGCCCACTTAAGTTCTTGTTGTTTAACTGTGGTGGAGTAGCCCATCCAACAACCTGTTTGCCCCGCAGTTTGTATGTACCTGTCACATAATAACAAAACATTATTATAAATCCAATCATTCGATTCTCATATACTAATACAAGGTTTGGATCTATCAAATGTTACCTGGGACTGAATCTTCTGCCCAAACAATTGACACATTTCCTGCCTTCGGCCATGTCTCCCATGCCAATCCGCATGCAGTGTCTACAATACACTCTTCCACAAACCTGTTCAATTCCATCCATCACCAAACTAAACATGACAAACATACTTATATATCACCAACAATTACACACTAATTACTATTTATATTGGGGTGTTTGACTGTTTGGTAAATAACTGTTAGTTGTTAGCTAATTGGATTAGTGAGTTTGAGTAGTTAATAGTATTAGCTGATTGTAGAAAGATGATTGGTAAATTAGCTGTTAATTAATAGTTAATTACATGTAAAATAATTTTTTAAAAAAGTTAAAAGTAAAAAACTGTTTTGAACAGTTTTTTGAATTTTGGAACAATAAACAATTACAAAAAATTAATTAATTAACAATTGCTTATGTGAAATGTTTAATCAAGTCAAACAGTTAATAGTGGTCCAGTTAACTAATAAATTAATTATGTTACCAAAAAATGTGATTACCAGGCAGCGGTGACGGAAAAGGTAGATATAGGTTGTGCAGAGGGTACAGATATTGGAGTGCGGAACCCCCGGGCGCCGCCGCCGTCCGGCGGACATGGACACCCCGCTCACATAACTCATATCCTCCTTCTCATACTTCTTGCCCACAATAATACTTCTTTCCACTAACCCGACAGCCCTCCTGGAACCGCGGTCAGGAGTAGCATGATAATGGCGGCCATGGCCGGTGAGCTTGTCGGCCGCCGGCGCTGCGTTAACGTGGCGATTATCTGGAGGATTATTAGGGGGTTCTGGTCGGGCTGGGTTTAAGTCGAGGATTGGCTCTTCGGAATGATTAGAAGAGCTGGAGGTCGCCGGCGGCTGTTGCTGTGTGGTGGCCTGAACTAAGTGTTGAAAGGTGAGGTTGACGGATTCATCAGGGACGCCGAGATATAAGTCTTCTAACTGTTTTCTTGCCTTCTCCAGACTTGCCAAATCCGCCATTGAAGTATGGCGATCGAGCTAGCTACTGTTTGTGGGAAGTGAGAAAATGATAAGATTTGCAATGGAACGATAGATGATGATTGAGTGTTTAGAATGAAATGGGTTTCTATTATTTGTTGTAAAGTTGTAGTATTTGTAGTAAGGGGATGGAGAATGGAAAAAGGCCAAGCTCTGCGGACCACACGAGGCCAGCCATGCAAACATATATATATACCAACATTAATTGTCATTTTCCACTAATCTAGCTAGCATTTGTTTGATTTACTACCAATTCCTCCATCGTTATTTGAATGTGTGAAACTTGTACAAAGAAATTAACCAAATAATTGATAGGCTGAAATATTATTTGTGTACTGAATGTACATTACACAAATAATGTATTTTCTATGAATACAATGTACATTTTTAATATATTAAAAGTACATTATTAGTATATTAAATGTACATTATTTGATAATATGGTCTACACAGTTGATTGGTGGATACTCAGCGCAGTATATCACCAATCTAGTGAGATATTACCCAAAAATAGTGTAAAGTAGACGCAAAAATATCAGACCGGCAAGGCCACAAACAAGACAACCAAAGGCGGAGTCTTTAATTTCATTGCTGATGGAGTAGGTATACACACAACAATCTTTTATTGGGTTAAATCTTGTCCTTAATGCTTGGTCGCCGACCATAGCATCCTCGTACCGCAAACAATGCCATCAAATCATATGATATATAAACATATAAACAATATAATAATAATGCCAGTGGTTATCTAGCTAGTTTCCATGCATGGCTGTTAAACACTCATATATCTTGTCTTTAACTCAGGGACTAGAGTGATAAACAGTACTGCAACCACTATTTATATGCTCGGGAACCTCTAACTTTCGATCCCAACTACCCGAACTACTATATCCAAATACATTACATAATACATATGAACACGTATAACCGAGTGAATTAACCACATCAGTTAGTTTGGTAATAGTAAGATCCAATCGACACCAATGAGTGTAGTCGATTGGCATTCTTGGGTTACCTAAGCTGGTTTACCTCATTGTGAGTTTTTGCTGACTAGAGTCACAATGTAGAGTTTACCCAGTGCACGTCACCAACAAAAAAAAAAAAAAGTGCAAAACAAATGTCTCCATTTTGACTGTATATATGCATAATTGCATAGTAATAATGTATAACACAAGGGTTGAAACCTGTAAACACTAAGCAGCAGAATATATAATTACTGTGCAAAATATATATAATTCCCATTTTGACTGTATATATGCATAGTGTCACCATTACTGTGCCTGTGCAAAATATATAATTCCCAGAGAAAACAATATAATGTCTTGGGCAAACCTCTGGGAAAAATTGCCCGTCATCAATCTGCACCCTTTTTCTGTAGCTGGATATCGATCAGCATATCTGTCATGCATAATGTTTATAGTCAGGCCAGGTGGTTTGCTACACCATTCTGCCTTGGATTGATCACGATTCAAAAGCTATCAAGCTCATTCAACCTCGATCTACCTCCACTTGCAAGTCATCTTCACAACTGGGATGGCAGTTGAGATCCAATTGTCCCTGACAGGATCTAACATCCATAGGAGGATAACGCTGTCTATTCAGATCGCGATCGTTTTCTGAATGATTCATATGTATAGCCCCCGGTTCATTTGCAGTATCCCTTTCTGATGGGGGTGGTGGTAGCTTGTCCTTTCCCACTGCAAGTTCTGTTTCATGGTCTGATTGCCTTTTCTTCTTACGCTGATTGAATGTATTGAGCCTACGCCTCAAAGTCGAGCAGATGGTGCAGTCACAATTGGGCTGATGCTTTCCCGTCCCACTTGGAGGCTGAATGCAGACAATGCAAGCACAGCCAGGGTGATGCCGAGGATGTTTTGTAGTGGCGCCAACTGAATGTTTTCCTAGGCCACCGGTGTTATCTTCTGTATTCAAGGCGTCTAAGCCAGAAGGCTCGTGATCATTGGTTTTTTCTATGGTAACTTTTTGCCTCTTTGAGCCTGGGAACAAAAACGTCGTTTTCATTAAAATGCTGTCATCAACTCATCCAAATCGGTTGTGTCAGCAACCATAGTAACTCTTTCTAACCAGAGACAGTAACGAAAAGGATAGCAATCTGAATCTCTATTTTAAGCTTTTATAACAAAAACGGAAGGGGAAAAAAGGAACTGTGTTATCTGATTCATACCTTTGGTAACTCTAAGAGAAGTGGCCGGTTGTGTTTGGTTAATCTCATCCGGGACAGAAATTGTTGCCTTCCCGAAAACTGGTGGTTCCTAGACAGCACTTTCATTTGATTAGAGCATGTCAATAAGGTACGAGAAGTAAACACAAGGAAGAAATATAAAGTAGGACTTATTACATTATACGCTTCAAATTCAATGTCCTCAATGGTAAGAATGGTCGGTTTAAGAGATGGGGGAGGACAGAACAAGTCCTGTGCTTCTTCCATTGTGATCCTCAGTTCAATTGCGTCTTCCACTTGCATCAGAAACCTCTTTCTTTTGGACCCGATATTCTGTGTCTTCTTCTGTGAAACCAAAATTTCACTTTGTGAGGAATTATCAGTTTTCAACCCGGGAATCATCCAACCATTGTTGGCGACAGATGCTGTGGGAAGTCGTTTGGTCTAGATTCATATATTCTTTATTGTTTTCCTTGTATCTTTTGTATAAAAACGATAAGAATACAAAACGAAAGCCAGCAGGAAGACCACTTACTGTATGGTTTTCAGAAACGCCACCAGCACCGGGAAGGTTTGAATGTTGAGAGCCCCGAGTGTCACCGTTATTTGTCCCCTTCCTGAAACTCATAACTAATTTTCCCCCGGGATCAATTCGACTGAATGTAACTGAAGGAAGCATAGCATAACGCAGTATTAGGTCTAGTGAAATCATAATAATGCATGATAAAAGTAAATAAACATCAAATAGAAGAAGAACTGTCAAAGTTCTACTCCATGTAAGATGACAAGAGCAGAAAATTATTTGAAAGATTGAATCTTGAAATTCGAAGAAATAAAAATCAAGGATGGAAATGGGAAAGGGAGAATGATACCAGTATCGCCAGCTTGTAATTGCAGACTCCTTATACAGGGGGTAACGCCCTCCAGAACATACATTCTGCTATTGTTATTGAGCCAAAATCTGAACAGAAATGTCCATTCTTTCCCCGTTAAATCCTGAATCTTTATTGGTAGACCTTCTGACTGATCGATAGGAGGAAAGTATGCCTGTTCACCATCTCTAAAGGTGAATAACTTGATGAACACCGAACCCATACTAGTATAAAATTCCAAAAGTTTAACTTACTTCAGCACACGCTTTGGGAAGGACAAGGCGACCAATTCTACCAGCATCACTTGCGGTGAGAACCTTATCGAACAGTGGAACAACAGTTGATTTCAAGCTTACAATGACAGTTAAGGTAGCAAAAAACTAAAGTCTCAAATTATTAGCACAGTGTTAAGCAACTACAAGAGTAATCAATGTGGAATGGATACTCTCCAGATATTTGCTGCAGTTCTTGATCCGTAATCTTAGATTGGTATCGAGGCAGTAACCGAGCCCGCCCCCCACGCCCTTCAGCAGGAGGCCTCACAATATTGGTTTGTGTTTTTGTTCCTCCCTTCGATTTCGAGTCATGGTTTTGGCTAGCTTTGGGTTGCTTGGGGAGCATATGGTGTACACTCTGCTGCCCTTGATGAAGTGGAGAAACCATGTTCTGTTCCCTTCCTCCATTAAACGAGCTTGAACAATTGACAGGAGTGTTCAACGAGAAATTCGATGGCTGATCAAAAGATTCACACACATTCAAATTTGGCAAGCACGTCTCCACTTGGCTACCAGACAGTTTGCGTTTTTCTTGTTTAATGTTGTTGTCATCATCCAAAGTTCCTAAGTGTTGCACAGATTCACAAGTCTCCATTGCATTGCTAAATTTCAGAAGCTTTCCCTTTGCAGAATTACTACCATCCACTCTATTTTCAACACCAATTGGCTGAAGATATGATAACATATGTAAAAACAACAGAATTATATGAATCCATTATTCAGTTTATCATTCCTAAATATCATATTAACAAATGACCAGTATAACTCTACTTATCAATATAACAACGACAACAATAGTAATACCTGTACAGATCTCAAGGCATGATTTCCCAAACGACTTACACAGCTTACACATCCTACGCCTCCATAGTCCATGTGTTCATACAAATATTTCGAAGCGATGCACCCACAGTGAATATGCTGCATATGACATTTAGGTAGAGTAAGGAAACCAGAGGACAAACGAAGTGGACAAACTTCAAACACGGCAATCATACCTTTCCACAAATTCTGCATTTGCGCCAACCGGATTCATCTAGGTGGAACATTTCACAGAATGCAACATTTTCATAAGCAGATCTGGACCACCACCAATACCATTTCTCAATTAACATTGACAATGAAAGAGTAGATTACAGAAGGATTCCCGGACATTGCACTATTTAAGATAGCAAAACAAGAACTAAAATGATAGCTCATTCTACAGCATACAACATCCAAGCAAGTAAGAACAGAATCATGGCGGAAGCAACCCAAGTCAAGTTGGTCAGACTGTTCATTCGGCAATCACAAGGTTATAAGTCCGACTCTCAGCAAGAGAGTCCCTATTGATCCTTCTTGGATTGAGCTGGTTAACTATATGCAACTTAAGTTGGTTTACCCCATTGATCCTTTGCTTACTAAGGTCACAAGTCGGGGTTTATCTAGTCCACACCCTTTGCGAGTTTCTCTCGTCACCCAAGGACTAAATCATGGCAAGAAACAGCGTTGGTGTGTACTGTTTCTTGGACAGGATCTCCCAAGGACAAAAACACTTAATGAGATGAATCTAGATACAATAATGTGACCTAACATTAGCTAAATACTATGATTAGTGGGTGAACAAGTGAGCTTTTGGTGTGTTAAGGTTAGTTATTTTATCTTAACATGCACCAGCCAGCCATGTCTGTTTAACTTCTGCCATCCTCCATACAAAACTCCAGGACAAAATTAAAGAAGCTTCTCTTATGTTTAACTGGTTTTGTCCAAAGATATTATTCCATTTGCAATCCTATTTCTCAGAGTGGACATACAGGAGAAATTCAGAGGTATTAGAAGAAGACCCACTTTGAATACACACATGAAATGGTCCAATTCCCAACTAATGATTTATCTTGGATTATCGTGTGAGGCACTAAGAGCGAGGAAATTTCACTTTTAGTGTACAAGAAAATGGTTCAATTTTTATTTTTATAAGCTGCCATTGCAGTATTGCACCAAAAAAAATCAAGGAAAAATAGAGCTCAAGAGCAAAAAATTCGGCCAAAATTGGGAAAAATAAATTACCCGCAGTTGTAGCAAAGCTTTGCAAATCCACCTGATTTCAAGCTCCATCCTCTCTTCCACTCAGACGACGACGTCGCGCCACGACAAAGCTCATTCATGCAAATCGTTGACTCCATTTCTCCCAAACCCAAACCTCCGACCCGGATCAACTATACAAGACCGGAAATTTCTCAAATCAATTTTTTTTTTAAACCCTAAACCCCCTTAAATCCTTAATGCCCAAAACTGATAAGATTACACAGCTGCCCTTGCTCCGTCACACCGAAAACAAGCCCCCCGCCGTGCCGTGACACGAAATCTCGAAGCAGAGGCGGCCGCGCGGTGGTTGGTGGGGATAAAGAAGGGTGCAAATACAATCCAAAAAACGACGAGTTTATAGATATACATATATAGTAATATAGTGAGAGAAAAGAGAGAGAGAGAGAACGCGAGAAAGAAGTGTAGTAGGGTGTGCATGCAAAGCAAAACGGAGCGGTGGACAAGAATGCATGCACGCCGCAGTTTTTCACAATTTTGAGCGTTTTTGTTTTTATTGTTATTTTTTTCTTCCTTTTAAAAAAAAATTAATTATTGTTTTGTGCCATTTTTTCCTTTTTACTGTTTTGTGATGAGCCGGCGGTTCCGTAGATTTGCATAGCCAAAGCTTTCAAATCAGATTTTCCTTTTACTCTATCATAACCTCAAGAGTCAACATTTCCTTTTATCAACAAAAACAATAATAATAATAATAATAATAATAATATATGTTTGTTGAGGTAATGCGTGAATGTAAAATTTAGTAGCGTTTAAATTACGTTATTTTATCTAAATAGATCATGTTGAATAGTCAGAAGAATGATAATAATGAGAATGTAAAATATTTTGTGGTGGCCTGACTATAATGTGGATGGACAACTTAGAATATCACCATCAATAATTTTTCAGAGTTTTTTATATTTTTTTACCATGTGAACGAGAGAGAAGATCAATGTCTCCTTATAAGTGCATGGTTTTGTTGGGACTTGTCGGAGAGAGAAGCACCAAAGCTAGGCGCAAAGGCGCACGTCTGCGGCACCGCCAACGCCCAACCGGGCGCGTGCACTCCCTCCGGCGCATTAACTTCCTAACTTGTTTTTTTTTTTTTCTTTTCTGTTTGTTTGCGTGCCAGATTCCTTTTTCTTCCTTTCTTTCCCCCCTCCTCTATCTCCTAATTGGATAATCAAAAATCGTGAAAAAAAAAAAAAAAAAAAACTAAAAATGGTGAGGATGTTCTTATAATATCTTCAATATTTGTAGTTTTTGAAGAGTTTTTGCATATGTACTATGAAAGAGAAGATTAAATGGAAGGCGACAAAAATAAAATAAATTAAACAAAACAAATCTAAAAAAAACTATAGATTAACGCGCCCGGTTGGGCACTATGTTGGACCTCACATGCCACAAAATGGTGATGTTGTTGCGCTGTGGTGGGGCCCACTTCACTGCAAAAAATCACATGCTTGAAGTGTGCACGCAAATCTTCTCCATCATCACCATCTATCTTCCACATGCATAAGCTTGACTTCCTTAAAAATCACACAAAAAACCACAACTGGAGATGTCCTTAGAGCATCTAGATTTTTCGTTTACTAAAAATAAAATTAGTGTGAGCAGGAGTTGCACGTACATGCTCAAGGAGCACGTATATTACACGTGTATGTTAGATATATTAAGCTGATCGCCAATTCGCAACTACTCTTTCTTCCTTTTGTTGGGTAATAATTCAAAAATATGCAACTGATTACATTTATGAAATGGGTACATGCATATTGGACGTGTCAACTCAAGCATATATACCTCATCCCAGTTTCCCAACTAATATTAGTATTGTGAATGGCGTTTCAATTACTTACTTGAGTTCTGCTCATATGTAGAATGACATAATATTTGGATCACCTACCATTATAAGAAGAATCCGGAAAATACTCAACTTTCAATTTTGATTTAGTTTTACTTCATGGTAAATTGAAGAGTTAACACCTAGTTTAATAATTTTTGAAGAACGTATATTTGTCGGGGTAAATAGTTTAAATAGCATAATTTAACAAATAAGTGCATAATGAACAAGTAAAGTCTAATTCAATTCTATAGACACTTTACACCGTCTGAAGACCTCATCCAGTTAATACTTATGTATAAAAAGTCTCGTATCATTTAAACAATGTTACATTATCTAATCATAAAAGCAAGTTAGGATAGATAACAATGTAAAATGCCGTTTAAACTATTTGGTGTAAGCAAATAATCCACGCTATAGATTCATGTTGATGACATAGTTGTGCGGTGATTTGAAGCATCCGTATAATAAATACAGAGTAATAGAATTATTTCCTCTCACTTTTACTCAGTACTCTATGCAGTATATCTGTGTATGAGTTGATTTGCGAGATTACTCAATAACCCTTTATACCTACATCTTATCAATGTAGATAACCAATTATCCTTAAAGTCACCTACTATTGATCAACCACTTTAATTTATTGTCTTGCTTTGATTGAGGTGCATAGTGCATCTTGGTTTTGGTCAGCCATTGATGGTCTCATCCTGATATGCGTTCGTCACCACAAATCCTTGTATGAGCCTGCTTGCAGCAGATGTCATGTGGTTTCTTAACCTATTCAAGAGAGAATTGATTGATTTATGAAATCCCATGGATTTCTCTAGATTTCCTTTGACAATGACTAATCACTCACATAATCCCACTAGTTTCTTCTTTGAAGTTACATAATCCTACTAGTTTGGATACTTTATCTTCTCATTCTTACCAAGATTTTGATCGACTCAAACTAAAATAGTCAATGCATTAAAAATTAATCCTGAAACATTATAGTTATCAATCAATTACTTTGATTGAGAACATAATTAAACTTGTTTTGATATCATGTTAAGAATTTAAAATTAGCACTATTAGATGATATGTACAGAATACTTACAAAGAAATAAACTCGATTAGATTATTTATAATTGATCGATTCAAACTAAGAAACTCTAGCCAACAAATGCCAAAAAGGTATTTTATTGCATGTAATATTCCCTCTGGCCAAATGGTTGTGCTGAACCACCACACCAACCATGTTGGTTTATAATCTGTTTATAACTAGGAACCTATAACTTTTCATTTGAGAGACTCAATTCATGCCACTGGATCATAATGTTATTTTTCGGGTGATAATTTAATTATAAGTCATAAAACATTGGTGAGAAAGTACACCGTATCTGCAGTATGCGTGACGAAAAGAAAAGGATAACATTAACAGGAACGGAGAGAGAGTATCTGCAAAGTGCAAGCTGTGTCTTCTGGGACTGCATATATCTTCTGCAAACTGCAATCGAATCCCAGTGACCCAAAAAGATCACGAAATATCTCTGACCCCGATTTTCTCAGGATTCCTTTCCACCCTCCCCTCTATATAATGCTTCCATAATAGCTAATACCTACCCCATCACTGTTCTTGCGACCTTCAAGATATGGCGTTGCTTTCATCATCATCACCTTCTTGTTCGTCATCAATGGCGGAGCCGCCGGAAGACGACGAGATGCCGCATGTGTTAGCTGTGGATGACAGCTCAGTAGACCGCAAACTCATCGAAAGACTACTCGCTAGCTCTTCCTGTAAAGGTATATGCATATCCCTCTCTCTCTTGATTGAAATAGAGCTTGAAGCTATGGAGTCTTGTGATTTCTTGAATTGGAATGTTATTGTAGTGACCACAGCGGAGAATGGGCAGAGGGCACTGGAATTTCTGGGGCTGGGAGAGGGCGCATGACCAGTAACAGGGTAATTAGATAAATATGTAAATAATATTGTTCTGATACCATGTAAGAAATATTGTTTTCATGGCCGATTTGTCTTGTATCTTTGCAGTCGAAGGTGAATTTGATCATAACAGACTACTGCATGCCGGGGATGACAGGATATGACCTGTTAAAAAGAGTGAAGGTAACCAATCAACCACAAACTCCATAGCTAATAACTTCAAAGATGATTGATTTGATTGTTGAACCGACAGGGATCATCTGACCTGAAAGAGATACCGGTAGTGATACTATCATCGGAGAATGTCCCAACAAGAATCAAGAAGTAAATAACACTCTCTGCTTTAGCATTATCCCAGGATTCATGTAAACACATATATGTTGACTGTTCTTGAACTGTAACAGGTGCCTGGAAGGAGGAGCCCAAGAATTCATGATAAAGCCGCTGAAACAATCAGATGTTAAGAAATTAAGATGCCATATGGCTAAGTTTAAGCAGCCCTGCAGTGGACGGTTATGCATTGGAAGATAAACAATGGATATTCCACAGAGAGAGAGAGAGAGAGAGAGAGAGAGAGAGAAAGAACATGTAGAAAAGAGTTCTAGAAGGTAGAGAGATATGGAGTATGGACTGGAGAAACTTCCAGAAATTTTGATCCTTTGTACCAACTGAGATTGTTAAAGTTTACAGCTTTTCCTTAGTAGCTCCAAGAATACAGTATTTTTTTTTTTCCACTAAGTATCCATGTCCAGTTAAGTTAGTGACATTAATCCAACCAAATATTTGATTGTCCCGAACATTTGTGACCTTGTGTATATATAGGGATGATTGTTTGAAAGATAAATGTTATTTAATTGTTAGTGTTACTGGAAGATTGTCTGATGAGGAGATAAAAATCTTAAAAGGGGTGACCAAGTGAATGAAGTATGATTTTCGTACTTAGTGTTACAAATTGTTTTTCTTGACTGTGTTAAGACTCAATGAATAAATGAGCCAACTTGTTAAGCTTGCCAAATGGGTATACGGGGGCGTTAAGAGTTGTTCTGCTTTAGACACTAAGGTCTAGCCGAGTCAGCCATGCTGACCTAGTTAAGTTTGAAGAGCTTGTTGTTGGTTTTGGACTTGATTATGAAGGAAATCGATGCAATTCAAATGTTTGAATTGGTTGGGAGCTATTGTCGTTCCCCTTATGAATCTATGGTAGAGTGAAACTAGTTTGACACGTATGCGGATAAGGCTGGTCCGCGGGGTATGAAGAACCTCGGGACAGCGCAGGGGCGTTGTGTGTTGCGTCGGACTGTATGCTTATAACATTAATCATGGTTTACAAGTTTAGTCATTGTTAACGGTCTTCTAGTCAAACTTGTCACATACCTTTTTTTTTTTTTTTTTTTAAGTGTTGTTTGCACGTCATTGTACATGAGGATGATTTTCCAATTTTATACTTTAATTACTAATTACGAGTTTCCCCTGTCAAACAAATAAAAAAAGAAAAGAAAATAAGGAGATACCAAATATCACATATAAAAAAAAGTTATTATCCTCAATTCATTGTCAAAATATGTTATCTTGAACCCTAGCAATTATATTGTCAAGCATAGTTCATATTTACAAAGTGTAACACATATAAATATTTATTTTTAATGTACTATATTTCATTTTTAAGTTACAAAAATAACTTTAATAACTTTAATACAATAAAAATCAATATATGATATATTAAAAATTAACATAATTATGTGAGTAGCTTACCTTGCAATGTGAATTATGGCTTACGGTATAATTTTTTTTTTTTAAAAAAAAAAATAATTAATTGGGCTGCAAAAGCATTCCAATGTGGGCATCAGGCTCAAATGAAACTGGCCCATCAAAGAAACTAGGCCCCTTCAAAACCCTAGCAGTCCTCTGAACCTTTTATATAGATCGAGCCATTGATGAGCTTAGCATCTTCCATAGTTTCCTCTCATTGTGTTCCTGCGCTTCTAGGTATCATTTTGCCTGCTTATCTGATTGTTTCTGTAGTTTTCTTGTTTAATCTTACTTAGAAGATAGTTATATGAGTTGAAATTAACTCTGCAGTAGTCTGTCAATGGATCCGTGTACAATAAGCCGATGCTCTGGATTCATATAATGAAGGAAGCATGGTAATGTGCACGGAGATTGAATCCTTGAGTCGTCATGTCTGCTCTCTCTGACGCCCTTCTAGGGTTTATGATTAGCGGGCCTGGATTAGACTCACATTTCATCTTCTCGAACTCATCTGCAGAGTATTTCTAATTTAGTGTAAAATGTTGATATTTAACCTAGTTTCTGGCAAGATCGATTGATCGGCATAACATTAATTTCTTGAATTTGATTGATGTTCATTCATATATTCTGCATTTTAATGTGTTAAGTCTTAAATTTATGGATCTAAATAGGATTAAATGTTAGCTTTTAAACAATATCGGAGTTAGAGCGTGGCTTGCATAACTGATTTGATTTTTTAGAATTAATTTGTTGGAAGTTTGTTTTTCAATTCTGTTCAGGAGTAGACTGGATCAAATTTGTTGTGTATAATGTCATATTGCGACGTTTCAACCAAAATTTTATGTTCAATGCGCTTATTGGTTGGAAAATGGTGCCAACAATATCCTCAGTTTGAATCATGATTTTGCGGCGGTGATGGAGAGATGGACGCTCCGGCATCCCTATTCAACACCCACGTGAAGCTGTTAGCCTTTGATCTGCTCACTCTCGTGCCGAATTCTGTAGACCAAACCTCATTCTCCCGCAATGGCGTTCGCCTCTGTTGGGCGGAGGCTGTGGGCGTGGTCGTAAGCCGGGAGTTCAAGCCAGGAAGGTTTTTGAAATTCTCCATTGATGACACCACTGGTTGCATCCCCTGCGTGCTTTGGCTCAACCAGTTGAGCTCTCCGTATTTCTCTCGCAGAAGCCCACCAGATGTTCGAGCAATTGCCGAAATGGCTGTCAAGTTTGCCTCCGAAGCTCAACTCGGCGTCCTCGCTAGAGTCCGGGGAAAGATCACCGGCTACCGCGGATCCGTACAGATAACTGTGTCTGACGTCATCGTCGAGAGAGATCCTAATTTTGAGATCCTCCATTGGCTAGATTGCATTAAGCTATCTCGTAATTGTTACAATGTTAGTACAACCACTGTGGAAACATCTAGAGACCAGAAATGTTAGGCGTGTACGTTGCCACGTACTATGTACTTGAATTTGGTTTTGTTAACTGGCAAACAGATCAACAAAAATAGAGTCGTATTACATCTACTCCCAAATTTTAGTCCCTGAAATAAATATTTATATTTACTCTCTAAATATCCTTGACCCCAGTAAATGTGTGAACAGATCAACAAAAATAGAGTCGTATTACATTTACTCCCAAATTTTAGTCCCTGAAATAAATATTTATATTTACTCTCTAAATATCCTTGACCCCAGTAAATGTGTGTGGACATCAAAATTTTAACATTTAAGTGTAAAATAGAAATTGAAAGTATAAAAGACATCAAAATTTTCAGATTTAAGTGAAATAAAATTTGAAAGTATAAAATGGGAGTTTGAGAAGTTAAACACGTCTTGGCCGACGTTTGCCTTGTACCGCTTGAGTTGTATTTCCCTTTTTGGTAAACCTATAATGATGGAACAACTCGGGTGGCACAATCTTAGTGGGACTTTATAACAAATCATATGTTGTTTTTTTTTTTTTGTAATTTTCGTTTTCAAAACACCTGAGACCATTTTGCAACCACACATTTCAACTACTTAACAGATGATCATTTGGTGAGAAATCGATATGGATTGGCACCTAATTCATCATTTGAAATAATTTCGTAGTCTTGATGATGAGTAATACTCGAGATGTTGATATATACTATATATAATTGTATTGGATAACTGGTGAAGAAGTATGTATATAATTGTATTGTGTAATTGGTGTAGAGTTTTAGGGTTTACGTGAGGGTTTTAGGCATTTTGATTCAAGATGAAAGGCTTTACATATGACACGAAGAATGACACTATTGGCAAAAGAACAACCAAAGTTTGAATTATAAACCAGATTACATATAGCACACGTTTTAGAAAGTCCTAGGCTTCATGACAATGGTGGAGTGCTTCAAAATGTGAAGACTGAATTGCCCTCCTTTCTCAGAGGTGTCAACCTTAGATTGGCCGGGTGGCGGGAGGAGCTCGAAGTTCTGCACCAATCGTCCCAAAACGATGCCAAGGATGGGCAGGGCGAGGATAATTCCAGGGCAACTTCTCCTACCAACTCCGAACGGGAGGTACCTGAAGTCATTCCCGTTGGCTTCGACGTGCTTCTCCTCCTCGAGGAATCTCTCGGGCCTAAACTCTTCAGGTTTCTTCCAGTGAGCTGGGTTGTTCGCGAGCCACCAAGCATTGACCAAGATTTTGCTCTCGGCGGGGATGTCATACCCTCCAAGCTTGGCGTCGTGGAGGTTCATGTGGGGAACCAGCAAGGGAATAGCCATTCTCAAGCGAAGCGTCTCCTTGATCACGGCCTGCAAGTAGGGAAGTTTATGGGTGTCTGGCTCGGTGATTTGAACGCCCGGTCCAAGAACTGTATCAATCTCATCCCGGAGCTTCTTCTGGATGTGAGGGTTGTTAACCAGTTCAGCAATGCCCCATTCAATTGACCAGAGAGTGGTTTCAATTGCTGCAAACAACAAACAGTCATGGTACTAATAAATTAGCACAGGATCAAATGATTGTATATTCTCAAGACAAATCATCATGCCATATAATAGATGCCCCCTTCCACTAAATCAGGTTGTACTTTTATATGATACTTATCCATTAGAACCAACCAACTGCCAGTATATCATGATGTAAACCCAATACCTAATTTTGCTGACCACAAAAACAAAGTACAGACTATTTTATGAAAAAATTGATTTTGGGTGTCGAATGAAACCGAGCCTACAAAAGACTACAATGAGGTAAATTAGCCCAAGTGCTTTCAGGAGTTAAACTTGTAACCTTGTAATTATCAAATTACCAATCTGACTAACTTAGTCCGTAAATTAGCTGTTCGGTGTCAAACAGCTTCATTAGGGATTTCGGATTTGTTTCATTGCTATGCACTAAGTTCAAAATGCATATGTTTTTTTAATCTTACCAGCAACGTTGATGTTCTCAACAATGTAAAGAACATTATCCTCATTGATCTCTCCCTTCTGCTGGGCATCAAGAATGTGATCAATGGCACATTTCAGACTGTTGGTGTCCATGCTCTTTGTGCTTGAAAGCTTCCTGCAACAAAAAAAACCAACCAAGAATCTCAGAAACTAGAAAACAAAACAACCTTCTAAGTTCTAAGGCAGAGCAGTAAAGAATAGTGAATTTACTGCAACTATTCTCACATCTACTGTCCAAAATTTCATCTTGTCCAATAGATTTGAATTGTGTACTGTATTCAACTACATAAATCAAGGCAAAATTGAGTTGCATAAGAGACAACACCTTCCCTGTCTCTGCCGAATTATGCAGAATAAGAAATGAATACACTTCTGGGAATCCTATGTTCCTTTTTTTGGGTGAATCCTATGTTCTTTTTCTTTTCTTTAAACCAATCTATGTAAATGACTAAAATGAGGTAAATCAGTCTAACTTAAACTAAGAAAACTAAACTTGTAACCTTAAAATTACCGAGTCAAACCATTTCCAAGTTTCTCTTTTATGAAATGTTAGGGATTTCAATTTGTATTCAGAGATAAGTTCAATTTAAGGAAAAATCATTAATATCTATGAAGATTATAGATAAATTTCAAGAAGTAGCAAAAGCTATGGCGGAATTGATAGAAGATAGATGGAAAAGGTGAAGAGCTTACTTTCTTTCATCAACAAAGTAGTCCTTGAAGAGCTGCAACCTTCTGTCCTTAACCTCCTTGCAGATCTTCAAGTATCCTCTGAGGAAAGGCCTGAGAATGGGGATGAAATCGCCATAGTTATACTCAAAGCTCTGAGCCAATCTACTCCTCTCGCCGTTCAGCGCCTTGAGCTTGTTAAACAGCGGGTCGTCCTCGCTCTCGAACCTTCTGTCGAACATAATCCGGTACATGTTATTGTACATCAAGAGCTGGAGCCGCCGCCGCAGCACGGTGCCGGTGGTGGCCGCCTCGGGGTTGTTCTTCACGTCCTCCACCACGCTCGCGATCTCCTTCTCCCACCCCTCCCGGTACTGCTGCACCACCTTGTTGGTGAAGAACGGCACCGTCATGATCCGCCGCATCTTCCGCCAGTGCTCGCCGTAGACGGTGAACACCATGTCCTGTCCCTTCCCGGTGAAGATGTCGAACACCACGTTCCGAGTGCGGGACCCGAACTCCACCCCCTGCGTGTGGAGCACCTCCTTGGCCAGCTCCGGCGAGGAGACGACCACTAAATTCCTCTGCCCCATCCTCAGCATGAAAATGTCGCCGAATTTCTTCGCGTAGTCGGTGAGATTGCGGTGGTTCAAATCATCCCCGACCTGAAGCCAGTTCCCGAACACCGGCACCGGAATCGGCCCCGGCGGGAGCTTGTACTTCTTCCCGCGAAGCTTAGAGACAACAATGGCGACTATTATGGCTACGAAGAGCCCTAAAAGAGTCTTCTCTAGAAGGAGAAGATCCATCTTCAAGGGCAAAATTGGAAAGAAATCTGCAAAATATATTATCAGAAAGGCAGGCGGGTATGCGTGGCTTCCTGGCGGAAAAAGGGCGGAGAGTTGGAATTTATAGCAACGGGGAGGCGGTGGAAGATTGCGGTTAGGTGGAGGGGGCTAACGGCGTTAGAGTTAACGGTGACGGATTCAATGGTGGATTGGGGTAGGTGAGGTTGAATGGGGGTTGGTGAACCACGATCTTAAATGTCAACTGTTATTTTTATTCAACCGTCCAGGTGGCTGCCACGTGATCTCATTTTTTCTTCGACATGTACTCCACTATTCTCCCAGTTAGCTTATAAATCAATCAATTTTGATTTATTTGATATTATTTGCTGTTTGATTTGATTAAACAATTAATATATAAGTATTTGATTAATTAAATTTTTGTAACAGCTTATTGATTCAAAAAGAAAATCTTTTTGCATGTAATCAACTATAAGCTAACAACTAATTTACCAAACACTTTTCTACAATCAACTAAGTCAAATTCACTAACCAATTAGCTAACAACTATTTACCAAACACCCTTATAAACATTCATAAATCATAATATCACATTTCTAATTTCATCATAGAGTAAAATTTAATTTGTTGTCTTGTGACTATAGGGGTCATGTTAATTGCAGTTCACGACTTTCAAAAATATTAATTTAGTACCTTGACTATGAAATTTTTATCAATTTCTCCGGCCAAATTTTGCCAGAAAATATTAATTAGTAAAATAATGAGGATATTTTAATTACTCCACATCTCTTTTCATCTTCTCCGGCGAGTCCATCTTTTCCACCATGTTTCCGACGAATGCAATGAACTCAGATTTGTGGCAGCAGTTCGCGGCTCATCCTTTGGTGACACTCGCTCATGCTTTGCAACAAATTCAAACTCAAGATTGTCAGCAGATGAGTAGCAAAACGAGAATGTGCCTTTTGGATCACTCACCGGCTTGGCAGAGATTGCCTCTTGTACTATCGATTCAAAACTGGTGTATAAATCGGGCGTGAGAAAGGTAAGTGTCATTCCGGAACCAATGATGATGTTGCCTTCAACACTGGCCTGCTTGACGCCGCCAGCTCGCCGATGATGATCTCGACTGTCGGAGATTTAACCGTTAAGGATCTGCCGCCAACAGTGATGCGTTCAAACTTCAAAGTTGAGCCAGTAAAAAGTCGCTTGCTGGGGTTTTTTGATTAACGGCGTTAATGCCACGAACCACGGCGTCGGGGACGAATCTTATGTGGCTAGTGGGGTTCGCCTCCGGCGATAAGTAGTAGGGCGAAATTACCGCCGATTTGGTGGCCAACCTCAAATTCTCCACCTCTGTCACCTTCTTCTGGAACCCATCTCCATCATATGTTTCAGACTCAACTTCGGTCGTCGGAAAAATTGATAAAATTTGGTGTTCGATCGCCGGAAAATATGGACTCGCAAGAGAAAAAGAAAATAAGAGTGAAATGAATAAAATACCCTCATTATTTTACTTATTAATATTTCGGTGAAATTTGGCCAGCAATTTAGCCGGAGTGACCAAAATTGATAAAAATTGCATAGTCAAGGTAATAAATTAATATTTTTAAAAATCGTGGACTGCAATTAACAAGACCCCTATAGTCACAGGACCAAAATATAAATTTACTCTTTCATCATATTGTATTCTATAAATTTAATGAATTTGCTTAGAAAGAAGTAAATTTAACTTATATAACTTCTAGACGGAAAATTAAATTGTATATTTTTATTCACAAAAAATTCAATCCAAACTCAAATTCGAATCCTCAATATTCATAGTAAGAATCGAACTCCCGGTCTACGGTTAAAACCAAAGTCAAATTTTAAAAAATAAACTGAATAATTGTGGATTTAGCTTGTATCTCTCCAATAAGTGCTATTATTTTCAAATATTTATGATTTTCTTTCGTCTCTTTTTCTTTATATGTAAAAATAATATATACAAAATTTTTTGTATCGACTTATAAGAGCATCTCCAATTGTTATAGATTTGATGAGTTTTTTACAAGTGTGATTAAAAAAGGTAAGTGGAAGGGAAGAGACAAAGGAAAAAAATAAAAATTAAAAAAAAAATAATTAAAAATAAAAAGAAGAGAAAGTAATGATTTATGTGCTTGCGAGATTTGAGCCTCACGCGAGATAATTTTTTTTTTTCTTTCTTGATAAGTCTCACTATAGATACAAAAACAAGCTCTTTATGTTATGAAAAATCATCAAAAATTCACTCCCTTCATTTTTTAAAAACCAACTTCAAATTTTATTTTTTTTGAGAACAAATGCAAGACCAACTTCAAGTTTTTAGGTATTGAAAAATCACTTAAAATTCACCGTCATGGTCCATGAATGCCCCTAACAAATTGAAATACTTTTCAATATAAATGATGATAAATAAATAAATAAATAAGTTGTACTTCAGAATGTCAATGCGTCGACAGCCACATTGTCACATATATCATCATCTCTCTCCTCATTTGCCGTACTTCATTGTACTGGTGGTTTTTTTTTTTTTTTCCTTTATTATTATTATTATTATTATTATTATTATTATTATTATTATTATTATTATTATTATTATTGCGATAGTCATGGAAATATTCTATATTCTATATACAGTATAGAATTAGTCACATAAATAATGATGGATAAAGTACTTGATGATTGTAATAAATAATGAAATGTATGGTAATAAAAAGTAATATAATTTCTTGTATTTAAGCATACTTTTACAGCCAATTATACAATGACATTAATTAGATAAACTGATTTTCACTTGGAAAGAAGAAGAAGAAGAAGTCAACTATAAATGGAATAAGGGTCAAATAGGCCACTGAACTGCACACCAAAGTGCAATTAGGCCATCGAACTCAGAAACAATGCAATTAGGTGCCTGAACAACACAAAAATGTGCAATTAGGTCTAAAATAACCTGTTGACCTAAAATTATGCTGACGTGGCGGTTACTAATTTTAAAAATAAATTTTAAATATAATTTTAAATAAAATAATTAATTAAAATAAAATAAAAGAATTAAAAAAAAAAACTAAAACTAAAACTGCCGGAGACTAATCGTCTCCGGCAGTCTTCGTCTCCATGGCCGGAGACCATCCCTACGTCTCCAGCCATGGAGACGAAGAGAATATTGGTGAAATGGAGGGGTGATCGATGTGATAAATTTTGGCACTAAACAATAGTCGTGGATGAAAATTGATATACTAAAACAATAGTCGTAAATGAAAATTGATATGAATTAAACATATAGACTAAAACTGTCATTTTGCTAATACTCGTGGGACCAAAATTAGTATTTGCTCAATTAAAGAACATTTGTTATTATCATTAAAATTATACTATAAAATTGCTATAAAATTGTTGAAGTCATCTGTCATGAGACGACATGGAATCAAAGTTTATAAATTGCATAATGATTATAAATAAGATAAAAAAAATGTTATTTCAAAAAAAAATATATATATATATATATATATGTTATCATGCTGCCGCTGCTAGTGACATGCGATACTCCATTATTGAATATGAACTTGAATTAAATATCACATAAAGTTTTTTTTAATTAACATATCCAAAACGGCAAAAAAGATGAAAAATCATTTTTTTTTAGACACAAAGAGCCAATAGTCCGCCTCTACTAAAACTCAAACTCATAACATATCACATAGGAGAACAACTTAGTGCCAATCAACCACAAGGTCCTTAGCACTCCTTCCTCGAACTTGTTGAAATTTTTATTGGTGATAAATTTATTCATAATTTTTACTCTATGAAGGCATAAATAAAAGAAAGTTAAATATGTTTTTCAATGTAATTACGTTGTTTACATAATTAGTTCTCATTCATAAGAATTTGTTGTATCAAACTTTGATATTTGGTCTTCTCTAAAGAAATTAAAATTTATAATTTCATACCATGCATTTGTGTGTTTTAAATTTATAGATAGCATAATATGATGATCAATTATTTGACAAATTTATCCCTCCAACACAATCAAGATTAGAAGGTGTTAGACCGTCCTCATTCAAAAGTGTAGCAATTCTTGCAAAAGATTATATTGAATTCTTCTCTCTAGCTTATAGAGTTGTCGTCTTAAAATTTCTCTCCACATTTTTAGAGAAAATTTGTATTTTAAATTCCACAGATACATGCATCATGATATAATACATTTTTTGCACCAATGACCCAATAACTTTTGCCTTAAAATACATGTGGAAGGCTATTAATTTGCTCTTTTGCTTGTCTTTTTCTACATTTTTTAAAAACCTCAAAAGCAATAGTGGAAGAGGTGTTGGATTATTAGTATAATTTTCCACGGTCCAAATTGAAACAATATGGCATAACCTTGGAAAGTGGCGATAACTCTCATGTAGTCATGTGGCTTGGAAAAGTTGGTATGTCCTAGCTGTCATCTCAAAACATTGTATTAGGTTTACAAACTTTTGACAAACTAATCCTAAATTCTCTAAGTAAAAATAGTTATGAACATATACTACATTGTAACAGAGTTAATAGCACTAAAAAAAATTCTAAATTCTCATAATACTTATTTAAAAATTACTAAAAAAGGTAAATTATTAGTCATTTCATGACTATCCATAGAATCAATAGGGAGGTCTACAGACCACCGATCGTTAGTTCGAGTGAAATATATTTAAAAATAAATTATAAATATTTATGAAAAAACATTTTGTCAATTTTATAATTTAATTTCTTTAATTATATTTTATATTTTATTAATTATAATTAAGGGAATTATCTTCAAGTTCCCACCTTTGGGGCACAAAAAGAGTTTTCATAACCTCTTATCCGTCAAATCCTCCCAATGACCTCTAAGATTTTCATTGAAATTCGAAGTAATAAATTTATGTTTTTTTTTTTTGTCAAATTTATAAAATTCAAAGGAGAGAAACTACAAAAATTTCAAGGTGTTGATGACTACCATGATATAA